AGCTAATCTGTTATGTGCTGACAGTGTTTTCTCAACAGAGTTGAACCCAAGCAGTCCATGTGAGGAATTTGCGTTTGGAGATCACATACTATATGGGTCACGTTTGTTGAGCAGTGGGTGAGGAAAGCCACTGGTTTACATAAGCTCGCTAAGATGAAAGGTCTGTCGGTTAGAAGAGTTCTTTTTTATGTTTGAGAAAATCTAAAACAGTTTTTAGAGATCAAGATCTACCCTGGAATGCGCTTGTGCCTCTTTAGTTGACTTCACTGGGAATCACATGCTTTTGCAGGATTTGGCCTGGCATGTAGATTAGTAACAGCATCACTGTTGTGTTCACTCTTGTTGTTGGCCCAAAGCAATATTCTGTGAGTCATTCCAGTCCATAGGCACAGGCTGAACTCTGGCCATCTGTCCCTAAGCCATCCATATAGATCTAATAAGCTGTCCTAAAGCCTATAACATTAGAGATGGCTTATCAATAACAGGCTGATTCTCAGTACTATTGTTAATTGTAATTAGAAAAAAATGTTACCAGAATCTGATCTTTGCTGCACTAGCTGAGGATGGCATTTTTGTTGTATTTGACACTTACTAAGATAGAACTTAGAAGATGGAGTGGCTCAGATCAGAAATTTTTGAAAGATCAATTGACAGCTCTTCTTATCTGAACCGTAAGTCTTATGACTTCCAGAGTGGAAGAAAATAACCATATCTGAGACCAAGGACAGTCATCAACTTAGCAAATAGTTGCTCAGGTTGAAGGTGGGGACCCTTGTCCTCCCTTCCACACTGCTGCTTGTTGCTGTACTGGTACTGATGGTTGACTTCATTCATAGCTTTGCCAGCTGAAGAGTGCATATGAACACTGTCGATCAGCGTTGAGAAAATAGATGAGCTTAATTTACTTTACCTTCACCGGTTGTTCAGTCTAACTTTGTGAATTCAGCCTTCTGCGGATTATGGAGTGCTCACATGGACACTTCTGCTACCAGCACTGTGGGGAGTGGTAACCTCCAGCAGGTGGGATGGTAACACCTTCAAAAGATGGGTGTTGATTTCCAGCATTAGAGGTAGTGTAGACCTCTGAAAAGAGCATTGTGCTAGGAAAGCAGGAGCTACAGTTTGTTCTTGGCACTGATCCTGGTGTTATGTGATTAGGTCAAATCACTTCTCATCCATGCATCTGTTTCCCCTTCATCTGTCTTATCCATTTAAACTCCTTCGAAAAGGGGCTGCCTGTTCTTATGTGGACAATGGCAAAATAATAGTATTTTTATCCTGCTAGTCTTACAGAGCTGCTTAAAGTTGTTGTTTTCTAAACGGCCTTTAGATCTGAGTACTGTTTGTTGTTGGTTGGTGGTTTTTTTTTTCCTTTCCAACCCTTTGCTTTTTCCATTGCAAAGCTGGCCCCACACCGATGTGTTTGATTGTTTTCATTACCATTGTACTTGCTTTGATTTTTGCAGCTCAGTGCCCAGAGCACAGGGCACTGTACAAACAACGTGATGAAATCAAGCAGGGTCAGCCCCTTTCTCTTTTTTACCTCGAAAACAATATGAAACTCTTACGTTTCTTTTGTTTGGCACCTCCAGTTTTTGAGCTCAAGGCTGTGTGTGTGTCTGCTGCCCTCCTGTCGCGTTCAGGTGTGAGATCACTTGGACAGCGCTTTCCATTGCTGCCTATGGGGGTACTGAAAGGTGTGCTGTCTGCTTGGTTGTGTGTGAGATCAAGCTGCAAAGTGTGGAGAATTAATGCAAGAATAGCAGCATGCTGAACTGATGTCCTACACTACAGTGGGCTAGTTGTGACTAGGTCCCATTACCAGGGCTCACAAGTGTACGCGTAGACTTGTCTTGCTGGATCATGCCTGGCCACTGTCTGCAAAAAGGAATTTTCTCCTGTTTCTCACCACTTCTTTTTGCTTTTGGCAGCATTCCTTTCTCCATGGGGATGCAGTTTGAGCGTGGCCTGTGTCCAGCCCTTTTAAGAAGTGCCAGGTTACTGGCTGTTGATCTGAGAAAGGGAGAAGGAGGTGGATAGCTTGATTCTGCACTACCATAGTATTGTCAGCCACTGTATCAGCCCTCAGCATGAATAGAGCGGCCAGCAGAAACACTCATAAAAATGTGGACCTTAGTGCTTTTGTACTTTAGGCTCATCCCCATCTTGTTCCTGCTAGTCCCTTCCCATGGCACTCTGAAAAGCCCCTTATAGCAGGTTTCGATACCAGGACAGACAAAGGCTGTAGTTTGATGCATCACAACTACACAAACTACAGTTTTCCTTAAGCCACAGTGATTGATTTGACTGCGTATCTGAACACTCTAAACTCAAGGAGTGTTTTGAGTTATGGAAACCCCTACTTAAAAAACAAAACCAAACCCCAAAACCGAAACCAAACCCCAAAACAAAACCAAACAACCCTGCAGGAAACCTCTTTACCAGCAGTGTGGTGAGGTTTTTTTGGTTTTGTGGTGCTGGTTTGTTTTCTCCTCTGTTTGCTTGATTTCAGCACTCACCTGTTGCATTGCTGCATTCATTCAAAGTTTCTGGGTGGGAGCACTGATCTGGTTGTATGCTGCTTTTTGTAACTTGCTGAGCAGTTCAGTCACTATCGGGGGCCTGGTGCGCTGGCTGCTTGTGCAGGAAGAGTCCAAGTACCTTTTGCATTATTCAGTGGAAACTCTTTCAGCAGAGTTTTCTGTTACAGTGGAAATCAAACTCTAACAGCAGATAGAGCCGGAACACAGCTGAAGACTTAACAAAATTAAAATAAAAAAAAATGTTGAAAACTTTTTGGCAATGTCCTTTGTCTCTGACACGGTCAGCTGCCCTAATTTTACTGCCACTGTCAGGAAGGGAGGTTTTATCACTAACAGCAGCGGGTGTAAAGTTTGTCCAAACTGAATCTTTCTGTGAATCCTGCATTGATTTTTTTCACCAAAACCAGCTTCTCGTGGTCCTCCAGGAGCTAATGCTTGGCTATTTCCAAGGGGAAAGTTTGAATATTAAGCTCTCTCTTCTAGATTGGGGCACAGACCAGCCATAACCTGCATCTGTATTGCTGTGTCTTGCTGCAATCCCTGGCTATGTGCCAGATAAGAGTCTTAGTTGTAACAACTCTCAGCACCAGAGGAGTTTCCATCAGTTGCTGTTTGTGCCATTTACTCTCTCCTCCCCCTCTCAACCTAGATCTTAGTCCTTGTGATGAGTAATGAGTTCTCTGCCTTGGGCAGCTTTTGGTAGCTGGGACTCTGGCCAGCTTCAACCTTTTGCCAACTTGCAAGGATAAGGCAGGTTGGGAAAGCAAACAAACTGTAGTTAATGCCAGCAGGGCAGCTTATTGTGTCACAGCAAAAGCAGGGTTTGACCTTGCCACTGGAATATTAACTCTCTCGGTACATACTCGGGCAACATTATAGGAAATTTTCTTCCTAGTACTAGCAATAAGCCTTTCAAATGTGTGTCCTTTAGCTGGTCCCTTTGTACTTGTTGAAGATGGAGAAACTACTAGACTGTCCTGGACAGAAAACTCTAATTTGTTTCAACTTGTGTTTTCCTAGGACTATTCTAGTTTTAGTGAAAAACTAGCCTGGTTCTTCTAGGCTCATTGTTTGGGATATTAGTGAGTCTTGAAAGAAGTCTTAGGGCTTGTGAAAACATCATATTATTGGAGCTCTGTAAGATGTGTTCTGTGGTGGCTCCCAGGCAAGGTCCCTGATACTCTATGAGAGTTTTTATCTCTTGAGTATCACCTTCTATTTTCTCCATGTCATATTTATGCCCCACCTGCACCGTCATGAGGACATCTAACTGGTGAGGCTTATTGGCTGACAAGCTGGTTGTACCAGGCCCTTGGAGGTTCTAGTCTTGCATTGCTTGTTGAAAGAAAGGTGACTCCACTCCCCTCAGAGCTTGAATAAAACACACATGAGGATTTGTTCAGTCATCCAGCGTAGGTATGAAACCTTGCTCATTGGTCTCCTCAAGTTCTTTTTAAAGTTTTTTAATATGGAGAAGTATGAAGAAGGCAGTGTAGAGAGAGGCTGGGTTGCCCTCTGGAAGAACGCCTCTCTCCACTCAGTATGGACGAAGCTTAGGGTGACTGGCCAACTAGTTTAGCCTGATAAATGACACGATTAAATTTGAGGGGTGTCAATACTTGTCTTCGCAGTTTGGTTTATAAGGTATCTCACTAAAGCCAGGCTGCTGTTAATGTTATTGAGTAAAACAATAAAGCTGCACAGCTGTCTATCAAATCAGTGTCAAATCTAATCATTTAGACTTAATATTGGACTGGAGTTAGTCACATTTAGTAACTGTCAGTGCATGCGAAAAAAATATATTGTCCTCTGAATTCTGCCTCTGTGGCTGTCTGTCCAGCTGTGTACCCCAACCAAGGAGTTTGTCCTAAGACAACCTGATGTATGTTTCTTAGTATGTGTGTACTACCTGCCCTTCCTTCTGAGGGTTTTTATCCTGGTAGTCAGGAGTTAAATTTCGTGGCTGTTGTTACCCCTAGCTCCCAGCCTAGGCTCTGTATTGGACAAGCCTGTTTATGCATCAAGGATAGCTGCATAAGATGTGTATTCACTTCTCTTTTTCTGCATTTTGCAAACCAGTATACTAAATTCAGCTGAAATCAGCAGTGATTTACATTAGGAAACAGACTGTAGGTTGTAGGGAGGCGTGAGTATTTGTGCTATTCAGCTGTCCCTGCTGCCTGGGGGGAATCTCTAGCAGAAAGGCAGGAGAACGGATGTGGTTTCAGCCTTCCCTGGAGACAACTGTAAATGTCAGTTCTCACATAGGGGATGCTAGGATGCAGATCTGGTCAGGCTGCTGTGCTTCCTCCATAGTAAGCAGAGGGAATTGCTTCATCTGAAAGTAATGTTATTTCTGCGAATGGCTGATTGCTTTGGTACAGCCCTCTCAGTAATTGTGTCGGACAGCAGGACTAGTGGCACTAATAGCATTTTCTTCCTCTTTGACTTTTGTAGGTATGTGCTGTTACATAGCAATTGCATGTGACGAGAAGACGGAGTGGAAGTTGCTGTCAGAGGATCCTGTCCTCCTAAGCTGGGCCTGAAGAGTTCAGCTAGCTGACTGGTGTGAGTACCCTGAAGGGGAGGGGAAGGAGCACGTCACCGGGAGACCTCATCCTGACTTGGGGCACCACAATCACATCTATCTCTATCAATTGTAGTGAAGGAAGTTTTCCTTCCTAGTAGCAGCCTACCTGGGTTGTGCAGCAGAAAGCTACATGTTGGTGAGAGCACTGCTGTATTATATGGGGGTTTTTTGGTAGGCGAGCCAGTCAAAAGCTCCAGTTTGTGAAAGAGGATCAAGCTCCAAGTGCTATTTTTGCGGTGAATCATGGATGCATTAGATAAAACATAGTAGTCCCAGCAAGGATTAAATTAACATTTACCACCATCAGATGTGTTCCTTGTTTATTATCTGCATTTGTGACATCATTTTCTGTTTTTTTTATGCTGGTGCCAGTGTTTTGTGCCTCAGTGTCCTGGTTTCAGCTGGGATGTAGTTAACTGTCTTCCTAGTAGCTGGTACAGTGCTATGTTTTGAGTTCAGTATGTGAAGAATGTTGATAACACTGATGTTTTCAGTTGTTGCTCAGTAGTGTTTAGACTAGAGTCAAGGATTTTTCAGCTTCTCATGCCCAGCCAGGGCACCTGACCCAAACTGGCCAAAGGGGTATTCCATACCATGGGACGTCCCATCTAGTTTAGGAACTGGGAAGTGGGGGACAGGGATTCGCCGCTCAGGGACTGGCTGGGTGTCAGTCGGCGGATGGTGAGCAATTGCCCTGCTCATCATTTGTACATTCCAATCCTTTTATTACTACTGTTGTCATTTTATTAGTGTTATCATTATCATTATTAGTTTCTTCTTTTCTGTTCTATTAAATCGTTCTTATCTCAACCCAGGAGTTTTACTTCTTTTCCTGATTTTCTCCCCCCTCCCACTGGATGGGGGGGAGTGAGTGAGTGGCTGCGTGGTGCTTAGTTGCTGGCTGGGGTTAAACCACGACACTCAGTCTAGGTCAGAAACATATGGAGGTAGTGGGATTTTGGAATTGGAGTGAGGGTTGGGTTTTAGGATAAGGACCAAAGTTTAGCAGTTGGCCTTGAATAGGCTACAGATCCAGATTTAGCACTGGTGCTTGCCTGCATAGCAACAGTGAGCTGGATTCATTGCCTCATCTGTAAGAGGCCATTGGGTTAGGTTTGAGTGGGTGTTGGGATGTGTGACTTGACTTGGTGTAGGTCTAGAGCAGACAGGAGCTGTTGGACTGGGATCAGGGTTCGGGGGGGAATTATGGAGTTGATGACATAAGGTCAGATCCCCAGGGGACTACTAGGCTAGATCTAGGGTAGCTGCAGGCACGGCAACTACAAATACTGGTGAAGCTGATTTTTTTTTCTTTGCAGGAGATGGTGTGGGGTCTTTTTTACAATTTAGCCTAAGATTAAGTCCTCGGTTGAAAGAGACTTGACAGTTCTGAGGTAAGCTTTGATATTCTTACTTGCCTAAGGCAAAAGCCCTCAGCCTTTGAGAACTCTGCATTGAAGCAGAAGTCTTAGACACAATAAAGGCTGAGACTCACATGTCAAGCTCTTGAGACCATTTTTTTACCTTAGAATGACTCTGATATGGAGCCTGTTTGTGATCAGGAAGGCGAAGGTCAAAGCAGCAGTTGCAGAAGACTGAATCTCTGGCATCCCAGAAATGGCAAATACAACTCTTTTGGTCTATTTCTTTGTTTCTAAAAAGGCTGAAAGAATCAGGGGAGCAGTCTCTCCTGCCTCTCCCCTTCCCTTTCCTCTGCACGGATGCTCTAGTGGTCTCAAATTTCAGCTCCGTATGATCATCTCAACTCCCTTCCTATATAACACTGTACCTGATGTTTGTCTCCATGCCAGAGTCACATCTGTACTGACATCATGATTCTCAAGGACTGCTTGTATCTCTCTCTTGTTTGGTGATACAGAGCCCTTCCAGTAAGGCTGTATCAGTCTCTTGCATGCTGAACATGCAGAGGCTCTTGTCGGCCTGACTGCGCTCTGTCTTTTATGAACTAGTCCTCTCTGAGGAATAAAAGTCCAGGCTGTTGGAGAGGAAACTGGAGAAGCTTTTGGGATGTATCAAGCCAAGTTTTATGTCATTTTCCTCCTGCTGCCTTATAAGTAAAATCACATGGACGCAGCTGTTGCACTGGCACAATTACTTGGTGTCTTCTAGAGATGGGCCGTTTTACACCACGCCTGAATATCATCCTGTGCTTTGGCTGCAAAAGGGAGGGGAGCTCCCTCCCCTCAGTTTGGCTGCTTTAGAGGGAAGGGAACGCAGTACTTGGTCCTCCCCCAGCCAGAAAGACGCAGTCAGGCATTGATCTGGAGAAGGAGCATCTCCATGAAACCTTGATTCTCAGAAACATGCCTGGGAGTCTCAGTGCTTCATGCTTGCGCTGTGGTTGACCTATGTCATCAACCAAGTGATGACATCTCATTTCCTTCTTCCCTTATCCCTGATGACTGCTCAGTCCTACTGGCTGTCAAGTGACATCAAGGCATGGCACATCTGTGCTTCAGGGAGTGCATAGCATTGAGTACCAGTGCCTGAATAGTCCATATAGGAGTTCAAAGGAGAATGGCTTGCTCTTCAGCCCCCATTCCAAGTTAGGTAGAGCTCTAAATGGCTCTTTTTACGTTACCTCTTTATATGAGAGAAAATATTTGCTTTTCTGTAGTCTGACTCTTCCTTTAGTTGGAGGCTCGTGGGAATGTAGGGAAGTGCTTGTATACCATACTATTTTGCATTTGTTGTTTTTTAAGATCTAATTAAGACATTGTGTTGTTTTTTAATGTGACCTGCAATGCATGCTGCAGATCAACTATACCCTTCAGACCTTTAGTTCAGGCATGTGGCACTTAGCGGACACAAAACAGTTCCAGGCCTGACAAGCTGGACCAAAGGCATGGGGGGGCAATATCTAGCCAGTGCACCAGGAAACAAAGTCAGTCTATGGAAACACAGTGGGGAAATCTTAACTATATCTTTTGCTGTCATAGGTGGGGAAGGCAAAGTGTGGAAAACGCTACCAAGTAGGTCCAAGGTTCTGTAATTGTTTCTCCTGCAAAGGAGAAGAACCACCCTTAGTGCGTGCAGAGAACTGTTGCAGAGGTTGCTAAAGAGTTACTGTTCTCGTGAATGGCCAGGTTTCCCAGGGCCTGCTGGTCAATAGCTGCTGCCTTATTCAGTTCCTGAATTCATTGCTTCAAGTGAATGCTGAAAATTACTCAGAAAGGCTGCTTAAAGTGCAACGAGTCCTCCTTTTGCTACTTTCCCTGGGGACAGAGCAGGATGTCTTCTAGAGGAAGGTGTTGCCCAGAATGTCATTTTTGGCTCTAGCCAGCTGGTCATGCCAGCTCCACACCGGCTCTGCCCATCTTAGACAATAAAAGAGGTTTAAGTGGTGCAGCACTGTGCCAGAAACCAGAGCAGTAACAGTGGGAGTGAGTTTATAGAAAGCAGGAAGATAGAGTTTTCATTTTTTCCGTTGAACTTCTGGGAACAGATGGAGAGTCGATGAGGCAGAGATGCTGGAAAGGACAGTGTATTTCAGATCTCTTCCTTAGTGTCTTCCCAATCTGCTCATAGATTCATAGCTCCTGCCTGTTCAGTACAGGGCAGTTAGTACAGGATGTGAAAACTTCAATGCCTCTGAGCCTCCAGAGGTGTATGTTCCCCAAGGCCTGCTGAGCTATGTTTTTTGGCCTAGGAAAATTCTGACAGAAAGGGTCGTGAGAGCAGCTCATGGCCTGATAGGCAATGTCTTTGTTTACTTCATTCCAGGTCACCACAGTTAAGGATCTGGACTTTCTGGATAAAGACAATGACCCAGGAGCATCTTGACTGAGCTCTGTACTGACGCTAATAGGTCAGTCCTGCCTCTCTAAATGGCCAATGTTTTGGTTTTTTAGTTGTTTTGTTTTGTTTTTAATCTGGTTAGAAGCCAAGAAGAATCTAATCAGAGCCCAGCAGTGCACTGAGCAGCAGTCATTATCATTACTTAGTCATCCAGTTGCTCTTTCTCTGACAAGAAATGTTGGTGTGGTGGGAGGGGATGGGGGAAAGATCAGCTTTTTTCTTCATCTCCTAGAAGAGGTTCAAGCATGTTTCCTGTTAATACACCTATAGCCAAGTGTTGCCCTTAGAGGACAGATTTAAAGTCAGGCCTTCAAAACTCTGTGGCAGCCACAGTTTGAGGGAGAGGAATCGATGAGAAGGGAGAACTTAAACCCTCATTAACTCCCAAAGGGAGGATTTTCAGCTGTGAACTGTGAGATATGATTACTCTCTCATTAGCTTTCATAGTTACAAATGTAACTGGTTAATAATTCCAGCCAGCTGGCCAAATTAGAGGCAAATCTAAATTTCTCCTGAGCTTGGTGCTTTGGGCTGAATTTCCACTTATTAATGACACACACAGGAAGCACCTTGGGCAGAACTGCTGGGACTTTATTTCCATGAATGCCCAGGCTTGTCTATTGGAAGACATGTTGCTTCTTTTGGCTCTGTAGTTCTGTTCCTGGGGAACAGAGGATCAGCTGTGGGTAGCCTGATTTGATATTCACTTGTCTTTAGCAATTAGGGTGCAGAGAAAAGCATTGCAGGAAAATACTGAGATGGAGAGAGAGCACAGTTTGAATTTTCTTTGCTGCTTCTGCTAGTTCCCTTCTTTACTGCACTCCTACTTTTCCTTTTTTACTCTCATCAACCTACCAAATCACTGTCATTGGAAGAGGCAGTAAGCTCAGGTGCTGGCCCAGAGATTATGCTGAATATCTGAGTATTTTGAGTCTGAAGAAAAATGAGAGAATTTTACAAAAATCAGCTTCCTTGCGTGTCATATAGGAGATGATTTTGTCCTGACCGTACCTTAAGGTTAATTTAAGCTCTACAGTAAAAAGGTTAAGAGCACTGGTAAACAGCTAGTGCCGTTACAAAAGCTTTTAATATTGATTGGGCTGTATTCTGTTACCTTCACAGCCAGCAGTGCCTTTCATTGAATGAGGTGCTGGCTAGA